GCCTGGACAATTTAGCAGTTTACTGAGAAATTACCTCATAAGATTAAAAAAATAATTAAATGAAAAAAAGGCTGAAGATGTAAGTCAGTGTAAAGGCCCTGTGTTCAATCCCTAGCAAGACAGTCAATCAATCTATCAATCAACTAATAAAATAAAAGATCCTATTCTTAGTAACTAAGCACTATTGTACCTAATACACCAAGAATTTTCAACTATAATTTTTATTATTTATTACCTTTTTCTTCTCACAATTCTAATTGGCAAATTATAATCTGCAGAAGTATCTATTCATTTCAGTATGAAACAGAGATAGCCTCTCTATTCCCCTTTTTATAACTCATTCCATCACCTTATCATCTCATCAATTTCCCATGAACTGTTTTCAAATACTTTGGGAAATGATGTGTAAAATCTCATTCATGCTCTTTTTTTTTTTTTTTTTCTTTTTGGTACCGGGGATCGAACTTGGGACCTTGCACTTGTGAGGCAGGCGGCGGAACCACTGAGCTAAATCTCAGGCCTTTTTTTTTTTTTTCCTGGTACTGGGGATTGAACTCAGGACCTTGCAGCTTTGAGGCAGGCACAGTGTCACTGAGCTAAATCCCTGGTCCTATTCATGCTCCTTTTTTTAGTTGCTACTTCAGAAACTAATGAATCATGTGCGGGAATCTGTAGTTTTTGTTTTGTTTTGTTTTGTTTTGTTTTGTTTTGTTTCCTGGGAAAATATAGCACTTCAGATGAAAGAGATAGGGTGAAGCTTCATTGTTACTTCTCCCTTCTTCCTTCTTTCTGCCTTAAATATAAATTCTGTATCTAGATTTTGCCAACCACCTTAGAACTGCATTGTGAAAAGTCTGGCAAACTGTTAAGAGAACCCTGGAGATGCTGCTCATACTGAACTGAGTTTCTGGATGCAGCTCAGAAGCCTTGATTCTAAAGTCTGATTTGATTAAAAGATGAAATTCTTGCTTTTTTTCTGATTTTAATTGAGATTCTGTTTATAGGGCTTTAAAATTTTCATCTGTGATTAGGAAATATATTAGGAAAAAAAAACAGTCCCTGGAAGAGGTGGAATTACAAAATAATTGGTTAAAAAGATCAAGAATAGGAAATCTGTGATGGGTCTAAAGTTCTAGCAGTATGGTGACAGGAAACAAAAGAATTATCTTGGGAGGAGACAAATCTGCTTGGAGCATTCTTATCTCAAGGTGCACACAGGACATCCAAGTGCAGTACACAAATGAGCATAAGCAATACTTTTCTATTATAGAAGTAGCCTGGAGCTCTCACTTGACAGTGAGCCCAGTGTGTGTGGGGGGCTGGGAGGTTCGGAGTAGGACTCACTGGAGACAGTAAAGCAAAGGATAGTGGGAAACATCTGTATTCAATTGAAATAGAAAGGAAATTTTTATAGAATATAAAATATATAGAAATGTGGAAGCATAGGAGGGTTCCAAAGAGATGGGTTAGCGAATATTATAAAATAATATACATGGTTTCAAATGTAAAAAATGAAAGTGTCTTCAAGCTGATAGCTTTTGCCACGTGCTAGCCTTCTCTTGTGATTTAGTTCTTTGAACTGACCCTGTTTCATTTTTCTTAACCTCAGAATCTTAAATTTATTATGGGAATTAGTCAGACTGTCAATTTCTTTTTTATTAATTAATTTATTTTCCTCTTTGATGACTACTGGAAATCAAGTATATCCTTTTCTTCAATGTCAGTTTCTATACCATGCACAACCAAATCAGAAAATGATTGATAACCAAATAGAAAAATGGGCAGGAGAATTATTTCATAAAAGACACTATCCAGAAAGTCAATAAACATTTTAAAGATTTTCAATTTCATCAATGATTAGGGAAGCAGAAGTTAAAACTATGTTTCTACTACAACCTAATCAGAATGGCTAAAATTTCAAACACGTACAATAGCAACTATTGGTGATGAACAATGGGAACTGTTGCTTATACTGGTGTGAGAGAGTATATGTCAAATTTATACAAACCCTTTGGAAGACTATCATTATTGATTAGTAATGGATATACACATAACTTATGATCCAAGAATCCTACTTCCAGGTATAGATTTAACAGAATTTTATGTGAATGCTTACCCTTCTAAATGATAAGAATATTAAGAGTAGCATTTATTGTGCTAGCCTACAAGCTGACAAAAAGCGAACTACCCTGACTAGAATAGAAAAAATAAATTGTGGTCTATTTCGTACAGTGTAACAATATACTGAAATGAAAAGCTAAGCAAAGAAAAAAATCTCTACTGTTAAATACAGTGTGCATGCATAGTTAAATACCTAATAATAACAAATAAGCCAAACATTAAAAAGTTTATATATGAACTTAAATAAAGTGAAGTGGACAAACTTCAGTATTTATAGAATGACCAAAAATCAACAAAACTAAAGGCAGCAGAATGGTAACTTCAGAAGGGAGGTGTTACCATCTAAATGTTAGCATTCCCCCCAAATTCACAAGTCCTTACTTTGGGAGGCGATGATGCTGTGACAGGTCTGCCCTCAAGGAAGGAATTCTTGCCCTGACAAGACAGGCTCCAGGGGCTTCCTGCTCTGTTCTGCCACGTGACAACACAGCAACAAGGTGCCAACCATGAAGCAAAGAACTAAGCCTCACCAGACACCGACTCTGCTGGTACCATGATCTTCATTTAACAGCCTGCAGAACTGTAAGCTATGTAATTCTCTTTGTTTTTAAAGTATTTTATAACTGTCTGAAGGGACCAACACAGACTTCAGTACTATTTGGAAGATAGCAGAACTGAGGATTCAGAGTATTGGAAATGTTCTGTGTTTGTACTGGGATGGTGGTCACAGTGTTCAAAGAAACTTACGAAGCCATTTATTTATGATTGTCCTGTCCTTGGTATACATGCCTTTCTTTAAATTATTTTTCAAATTCCTATCCCAAGTCCTCTCTCACTCATTTGATTTTGAATATTTTACTTCATAATATTAAAGTTTTTACTTCAAAATCTAATTGTTTCTCATTATCATCCCACCATTTTTTCAGGCTGCAACCATGCTTAATTTCTGGAAACTTTCCTCTTTTATCCTACTTAGCCAATCTTATCAGTGAGTATTAGAACTCTCTTTTTTTTTGGCTAAAATTTCCTTATCTCATTTTGGATTGACACTTTTAATTTCCTTTTGCCTCTCCAGCTTCATCTTCATAGCTCACCCACAGGAGTTATGTAAGTGTAATTTTAAATTAGCCTAATTTCTCAACCTCAACTAAGAATGGGAGGAATTGTCTAGCGAGAGGATAAAAATTTGTTAGATTAATTTTGATAATGGGTGAATCTGAGTCTGTTGTAGCCTCACTTCATTCCCATGGTATCCATTACTTCTCTGCAGCTCCATTTAGAATCAACTTCTCATTTCTACCTTTGTGAATTTGGCTGAGAGTTCCATGAGAGTTTGACTCGGTAAGCATTTAAGTTTTGTGAGTGAAAGAAAGTCTATGAAACACTTGTAGAATGGTTTTAGCAACAAAAATATTTAAGAATGAGAATTACACATATAAAAATCTAAGTAAACAAATTTATTTTGTTTTTAATGGGAAATAAAATGAAAAAAATCTGAATCACTTCCAATATTAGTTAAAGATAGCAAGAGAGAGGGAACCATTGCTTAATAAAGAATGTGTGCCAATCCAAGAGATGCTCTACATTTTCATACTGAATTAGTGAGGTAGGTGTTATTATTCCGAATTAAAATTTTAGAAAAAGAGACCCAGAAAAATCAAGTAACTTGGTCAGGATCATAAACTAATTAAGGGGCCTAACCAAGATTTGAACCTTAGACTGTGTGATTCCACTGTTTAGATACCTGTGGTCTTCTCTATCTTCCTGTCTATGAAGTTTAATGACACAAGCATGTATACTAGCAGAGCAGGGGCTGCTGATTACTTGCATAACATTTTAAAATAGATTTTTATAGGCCTTCATTTATTTTGGTGCCCACCATTTAATATCTAAATTAAGAAGAGATTATCTTTATATCTTTTGTAATGTGTCACTTTTTAAATTATCTGTCAAACAAGTTGGAAGTCATGGCTGGGAATTCCTAGACTGCTGATAATAGTGCTAAATTTCTTTTCATTAGTTCCATTCAGTAGCTTCAATAACTGCATATATTAACTAGACCTCACATATATATTAACCCATAACTTATTAATGTTCAGAATAAAATTTCATTGACACCTTTTTAAATACATGACTTGATTGTGAATTAAATAGAACTGGTATCTAAGGATTTTAAATACGAATTGTGACTGTTGAATTTTGCTCCCCTGATTTCTTCCTTTCAGGCAAATAAATACTGAAAACGTTTTTTAATACTCATACACAAAGACACACAATTTCCAAATGGTAATAATTTAAATGTAATTTAGTAATGCATAGGAAAAATCTCTTGTGATAGGCAGTATAATAATTTCTCAAGTTTCTTAAAAAAGAAAAATGTTTCCTTGAAGTAATTTGGGTAAACCTTGATCTGCCGATAAAATCTACTCGATCTTGTGATGAAATCTGCATTTCTCCATCTTTAGACATGGAGAGCTCAGTGAGAGCTGGTCGTTTTAGCGTGAGTGATAGCATGACAAAGTACCAGAGTTTTAGCAGTCCTCACATGTAGTTATCGTCTTCAGTATTTTGTCTTGCTGTCTGAGCAGCTGAGTGGAGGTGACGTCACCTGTGGAAAGCTTGCCTGACTGAGGCAAACACAGAGAAGAACATCTGCTTGTAAGGAGGTGAGAACCCAGAAATGGTAAAAAAATGATTTAAATACAGATGCCTGAAGCAAAAGAGAATACAGATTTTCTTTTAAAGTAAGACCTGCTCTTAAAACAATTCTTATAATCATTTCACACAGCATATGTGAAGGCGCTTCACAGAAGCGCAGTTGAACCACTGCTCCGCAGACTGATGTCTGGGGAGCGGGGGAGGAGGCGGGATGCGAGTACCTTTGCTTGTCCAGCTTGTGTAATGGCAGGAATGTTAAAGAGCTGTCCAGTGTAAAAATGCACCCCGCTGAACAGGATCACTGCAATCGAGTCTCCTTCCTTCTCAATTACTTCAAGAATATCCTCCATTCTCAAGATTTCTTCTCCCTAAGTCAAATTAGACATACGTTATGCAGTAATTAGGATAGTTTGTCACTTCATGCTTAGCAACCTAGCCTTCACCGTATCTTTCTCACCGTAAGGAAAAAGGGAAGGTAGATTTTTATTCCCACACTAATGCTCTTTAAAAACCTGGCTGGCAGAAAAGCAGTATTTCTGGGTATACACTGATTATTAAGAAATGATAATAAAATAGTAAAAGGGAGTTTCTTTTAAATTTTACCCTTTGCAACAACATACTCTCTTGATTTATCCTCTAGTTTTTGGATTAATTTTTACTATTTATATACCCATGAATTGTGTTCTCATTAAATACAAATTGTGACTGTATAAAACACTCAAAATGTAAGAAATCTATGAAAAATCATATAATAAGAGAAATTTATTGAAAATAATATTTGCATTTATTCATGTGATGTAATTCTTTTTTAGAAAAAATCACTTATATGTCTTTGTTCTGAATATTAACTGACTTCCGTTAGCTTAACTATAAAACCTTCCCCAAACTAGTGATCAAGATCCAATCCTGAAAAATAAAATCAAAAATTTTCACTACCATTTAGCGTATTTTCTTCTGTATCACCCCATTATAATTCATGACTGTAAATGAATTTGGATTTGTCCTTGCAAACAATTTGACTTGAAAGAAACTGATTAAATACAAAGCATCTATTTGTATTCTAACAATTTTGATCAACTAACCAAGTGTTTATGAACTTTCTCCAGTGTCAAATTTGACATGATTTTGATGTCCATGCATCATTCATTAATTGGATTAATGTTTGAGGAAAACTTCCTTCGATTTATTTTTAAATTATAACTCTTGTTACTTGTCAATCACTCTGATTCACTCTATATGTTAGTTGTGGTTTGTCTGTGTGTTGAGGTGGGGGTCTGTGACTATAAGCGTGTATGTGTGTATTTAAAAAGTCTGGAGGGCTGGGGATTTAGCTCAGTGGTTTCACTGCCTGCTGCGCAAGTGCAAGGACCAGAGTTCAATCCCCGGTACAAAAAAAAAATTAAAAAATAAATAAAAAATAAAAAGTCTGGAATTTGTTTCCAGAATAAGAACAGGATATTGAAATCTCAAAAATACTAAGTGAAATATACTTTATATGCATAAAGAGAAAAATTTAACACATAAAGAGAATAAATTATAAGAAATTTTCCAAGTAAAATTTAAAATTTAGCAATTTGAAATTTTTATTCATAAAAGAATTTAATACAGCTGCCTACCACAATTAAACATAAAAGTTAAGGGCAGTATTGTGTAAACTGATAAGTAGTTTATTTCTTTAAAGAATCAGTATTAGGGCTGGGGATTTAGCTCATTGGTTTCCCTGCTTGCTGTGCAAGTGCAAGGACCCAATTTCGATCCCCGGTACCAAAAAAAAAAAAAAAAACACCCCAAAGAATCAGTATTAAAAAGGTAAGAAATGTTAATGGACAGGTGCAAAAATAAAATCCTCTTTTGCAACCCAGAACTCATTGCTCACTATGAGTTTTGATTCATATAAGAAGGAATATTGCTGCCAGGCACAACGGTATGAGCCTGTGATCCGGGGACTCCTGTGGCTGGGGCAAGAGGAATGAAGAGGAATATAGTGAGACTGCCTCAGAAAACAAAGCAAAGATAAAAAATTACAACCTAACACAGATTAAAGTAAGAAAATAAGAACTATAGTTTACAAAGATAGGATAGGTGAGTCATTCATGTTGCCTTGTTTTCATCTAGTGTTACTAAACACTGGTCCTGAAATTGTGATTAACTCATGGGACATTAAAATTCTGATCACTTATTTATAAAATTAAAGCTTGTGATTGTTACTGGCCATATTCATTTATGCTAGAAATCAGTAATTTATATAGGACATGCACAGTAGATATCCTCTCAGAGGTGTGAGAATGTTTTATTCCATTAATTTCCTGCATATTGGCAAATAGAAGTGAATAGAGCAGATCTTTAATTTTTTCAAAGTAATTCTGGATGGAAGGAAGTAATTGCTCAAACATTGGCTTAATATCCTGGAATCTTCACATGTGAAATCTAAAATTTATTCTGTATGATTCTCTTGAGAAATTACACAATCCCCAATGTTTATATGTCAAAATATGTACAACTTAGCCTCAAATCTCTATTAGGGTAAAAACATAGTATTTTAGGTCTTCAACATATGATCAGATTGTATTAGATATATTCTTTGCTGTTTAAATACAAAGAAGTCCCAGATAGATAAAGTAACTTAACTAAAGTCATATATCCCATACATTGGAAGGTCTGGATTTCCACTTTATATATTAGTCATGCTGTACAGCCCAAATTTTCCCCTCTATCTTTTATCTCTTTTTCCACTCTAAGTACAAAGGAATGTATCTGATACACAGATTATGAAGGAACACTAAAGCTACTCATTTCATTTTAGCAAGTAGCACTGACAGCTGATTTTAATGGAAACCCTGGGCAATGACATGCAGATATCCAGTTTGTCACTCTCTTCACATCTTCTTGAAGATTATGGAAGATTTTAGTGGTATAATTAGAAAAATAGTTTGCTTTCCACATGGCCAGTACTTGAAAAATGAAAACAAATACACTTCAGAAGGGTTTTTTTTATACTTTCTTGAAAGTTCCATTAAAGTAATGAAGATAATAAACTTTTGAGGAAATGGGGGAAGAAATCAATACTAAATAGAAGCATGATGAATATTTATTTCTTTGTCATATACCTCTCTTGGCTTTATCATCCGCATACTTTTCTCAACATCAAGTCCATGAAGTTGAAGCTGTGACTCAATAGCATACTGGAAGAGAAGGATAAGTTATTTATTAAATCAAACTGAATGCACAGAGGTGCATTGAAATAACAACTCTGAAAACAAACAATAAAATATCAATAAAAGCTTGTTATTATATTAAAATGAAGCTCAAGGTTAAAAGGGACTAAAGTATACATCAAAGAAAAACTACTTAATATGAGTTAAGCAGGAATCTGAGCATCCTTTAAAATAGTACTAATTAGAGAGGAGTGGAAATATAGGGATCATTTGGACTTTAGGAGTTACAAGAGATTTTTATATTAAAAGTCTACTAACCCAAGTCAAAACTTGAATTTCCAAAATACCTAGTGAGTAATATATGGATTTCTTATGCTTCAACCACAATATAAAAATGGTTTGATCTAGAAAGAGTAATCTAGTGAAATGAAAGGACATTAAAGAATCTACCAACGATATGATATGTATGGGAATAAGCAGTTACACGGACTCAATTTTTTAAAGATATTTGGGTTTTGCCCCTTTTTAGTAAGATAATGGCTATTAATGTCAACATAATTACATGCCATAGAATTAAAAAAATGTGGGCTAGTACAGTTAACATAAATACAGAAATCAAGTTCTCTAATACTAACACTGACATATGCAATGGAATTGTGTGTGCGTGTGTGTATGTGTGTGTATGCGTTTTTCCAGAACAAATTTCTTATCAACTGACTTGCTGATACGGTAGCACTCTTTTGTGATCCACAAGAAATATTTTTAATCTTTAATAAATAGATCTTTTGATAATAATGTATCAATAATTATGCTAGCATGCTATGAAAACAAGGGGCAAATGAAATTTCAATTTTACGTAGCTAAAAGTTTAAGCACTGAGGTTTGTATTGATTTGATTTCAAAAAATAAAACAGCAACAAGGATTAATAAAACTTTTATAACTATACTTGATTTAAACTAACAATTTACTCAATGTCTTTTAAAAGACTAATAAATCAATGATATCCAATCCTTTCCTCCCTTAACACGTTTCAGTTGAACAACAGAAACAAATCTACAATCTATAAAAACTGCTTAAATCAAAAGCATCTGACAGATGTTTTTATAGTAAAGTTACTTTCAAAAAATTAATGAACACACATTCAAGTCAGGCAAATGATACCTCCCTCTAAGAAGAGAAGAAATAAAACAAATATCATTTGAGGAAGTCCTTACATGATCAGAAGAGAAGGCTTTGGCTTCTAGAAGAATTTTATGCCGTTTGGGTGTGGGTTTAAAAAATGATAACTGCAATGAAATGGATTTATTGAGAAAGCATTAATGCACAATTTACATGTTTGCTCCTTTTATGCCATACTTTCATTTTATAATCTCCAAAATTTCAGAGGTATTAATTAATGAAACATTTAAGATATCTGTCAGGGCTACATTTTTAATTAGACTTGTTTAGAGTAAATTATAAAGAGGAAGAAGATATTGGCTCATTATGTTTTTCAGTGGAAAAGCAAACTCAGGAAAATGTATATCAGATAAAACAACTCCTCACATTTTACTTAAATGTTAATTGAAAATTTATCTTCCAAAGGACTTAACGATAATTTCTCCAGTATGAATCTAAAATATTTTGTTCTATGTATATTTTATTTATAATGCCTTACCATTCACTATTAATTTGGCTTTCATTACATAATTTTCCACAGTTTTCTTTATTTTATGGCATTTTGTTTCACATCTAACTAAAAATATATCAATATGAAACATTTATCCTTAAATACACCAATGAGAAGTAGCCCATTTGTTGAATGAGGTGCTTTCATTTCTCCACAGTTTCAGGAGAAATGAATTGAGAATAACAACGAGGATAACAATATTATGCTCACTGTCAATATTACTGAGAATATCAATATTAACTAGGTGCTGATTATTGGCTAGGGTGTTATAGTAACTTCTTATCACATTCAATCGTCCTGTAGATCTATGAGGTAGATATTCTTGTCCTCACTTATGCAAAGGAAACCATCAAGATTTAGAGATGTTGAATCCATTCTCCAATGTCTAATAGACATTATCTAACTTAGCTGAGGCCTAAAACAAAGGATGTCTGAGCATGTAGAAATGTTTTCAAGACACACTTAAAACACAAGGTAAAAATTTTTCAATGCCAAGCAATTACTATAGACACCATATCCCAAATTGAGAATACATTTCACATTTTAAGGTATAAGTATTGCATGTTTAAGATATAATGAGTACTTTAAGAATTTAGCTCATTGTAAGTACTAAGATCCTTTTTCTCCAATTTAGCCTTACATTTCATGTCTTTTTAACATATTTAAAAAATTAATCCACAATAGAATACTAATCGATCATACCACCCTGCTGAAGTCCAGCATATTGGAAATTGTCTCTCTGATAAGTTAAATGCTCTGGCAGCAATTGTGCAGTATAATATGGTGTACTTGCAGTCAGTTCACCTTTTCACCCATCATGACTCTCTGTCCTTATGTTCGGAGATATTCTAAAACCTGCATGAAGGTTTTCTTGTTTGTGAAAAAATCATTATATCATGGTCCAACATTTTCTGGTAAAAATGAAAATAACCTCACATCTTATTTTTAAATAAGTAAAACCTCAAATGCTCATGAATTAAATATACAAAAGCATAATATTTTATAAATGAGTGTATTCTAAACACTGGTGGGAAAGGAAACTTACCAGTAGGAGATGTAAGTTAACACTCAAAGCATTCATTAAGGCTATTTCTTTCTCACTGGCTCCTGTAAAATAATCATATCATAATTTATAGGGTTTTATCTAAAGTTACTTGAAAAACAAGGTAAAGAAGCTTCACTCAGTCATTCTTAATGTTTTTAGAGGTAAGGTCACATTCAATGTGTCATCATAAAGAAAGAGAAGTTTCCCCACTTGACTCATTTTATCAAATGGTAACTGGACTTACATGCACACAGCCAGTCATTTTATCAAATGGTAACTGGACTTACATGCACACAGCCAGCTAAAAAAAGCATTTCCTTTTTGAAGTTATAAGCAACAAAACAAAACAATGAAATCTTTTCTTTTGCCTATAAACTAAAAATGATTTATCCTATTTTCAACTAGTTTGCAAAATACCCAAAGAACATTTTTTTTGTGGTAAGTGTATTTTCAACAGGAATCTCTACAGAAATTAAGGTCAATCACATTTTTAAAGTTGGCTACATTAAACATCATATTTTAAATGCACCTTTAATATAAGAAGGCTACTTTGCCAGACACATTTCACTGTTATTACTATGAGATATATAACAGTTAACATAACTAAAGAACCACAGAGCAAAATATAATAGCTTAAATAACTTTATGGTTTATTTATACACACTGGGATAAACGATAATAAAGATGTATATGGCCCAATAAGAAAATATTCAAAATTAAGAAAGTTACTAACATAATAATATTCTGACATAATTACTATTAGAAAAGGTTTTGGTAGTATCAGATCCAGAGAATAAATTAGTTGCTTAAGAATTCAGGGCATAAAAACTGTTTTTAGTTTTTATGCTGTCTCTTAAAGGCAACTGGACTCATGTAATAAGAATAATGTCTTTACCAACATGAGAAACATATGCTATGTACCTTAATGTTTGGAAGGCTCTACTAGATGTTAGAGAACATGTATAATACAAGCCCTATGTTTGATATTCAAAGAGATACTTCTGATAGGATTCCATTTTAAAAGAATAGACAATAAATAGAAGAATAAGTCTAATAGATATCAAAAAAGGGGAGGTCCCTGAAAATAAGTTTTTAAATTAGGACATTGAAAATAGTAATATAAGGGCTAAAATTTCATTTATTCAATAAAAAATTCTTGCATTTGTTACATGAATTTCAGCACTTAACATACAGAGCTGGTGAACAAGTGATGGACGTCAAAAGATGTGTCCCTGGTCAATGTAAGATGACTATAGTCAAGGGGAAAGAAGGGAATCTCATTCTATATTTCTACCACTAAATAAAATCCTCCTATAAATACTAGACAGATGTGATAAGCTCATGTTGTGTTTGGTGGCATAACCTTCCTACAGTAAGAAGGTCTCTTTGAAATACAGGAAAAGACAAAACACTTCCAGCTTTAATTATTGCTGCTTCCCTATACTATGTTGTGAATTTTTATTGTAATTTCTAAACAAAATATTATCTAAAATATCTAATTTCATCATATTCTTGACTTCCTGTTAGTGATTTACACACATCTTTTCTGAAAAACTTATTACTAAATGTTATCAGGGAGAGTGAAAAGAGGAAAGGAAGAAAAACAGAGAGAAGAATTAATAGAAAAAGTACTTAAAATACAGTGAGAAGAAAACATGGTAGTTATCAAAAAATGAAATAAAATAAATGGAAGAGCAGGCAACCCACTTTCCGGTCCCCCTTCTGTCTCTCTTAGGCAGAAGCTTTCTTTCTCCAAATAAATTTTTCCTACTCTTAACCTCCGTTGTTCCTAGAATTAATTCTTCGATTTTATAGAACATGAACTCCCATTTTGGATATCTAGCAGGTTTGGGATTCATATCTCTTCCCCCTATATCATTTTGGAGGTCTTCCACCGAGATTACTGGTCAGAGGTAAGTGTTTGCTTTTGTTCCATAGGTTCTAACTTTGGTCTTTGTGCTTCATAGGTTGTTACTATTAATTTCATAAGCTCTGACTATTTGTTTCATAGATTCTGGTTTCTGTTTCATAAATTCTGGCCTTTTCTGTTTTGAAAGTGTCTTAATTTCAGTTGTGTAATTTCAATTTGTTTTTCTTATGCATTGTCTTTTGTTAAAATTATGTTTTATTCTTGTTTTGCATGTGTTGCATTTGGACTTAGTTGCCTACAAATGTTGTAAAATGGGTCTCTTATGATATCATCTCAGATAAAGACAGTTCAGGCTTTTATCTGTTCCTTATAGAATGCCAAACAGTGGTTACTCTGCCAGCTAGCAATTGCCTTTAGGGCAGCTGCCACTCTCAAAGCAGAGGACAGGTTTCTCCAGTTGCCCTCTGGTGAATCCCCACTCCCATTGAGACCAGTGGTGAGTGGAATGTTGACCAGATAAGCAATTGGGTTCCTTTCGGAGGCATCTCTCTGATGCATGGAACTAGCAGAAACTGAGGTGACAACTGAGGAGTCACGGCCAGGGCTACTCTCTGGCAGATACCCAAAGGTCCCTCAGAAGAAACTAGCTCCCGACAGCCCCTTCAGGTAATCAGCAGAAAATCTCCACATCTTGTCCCTATTTGGACTCCTCAGTGAGGTGAAAGGGAAACTCTGTCAGTGATCGTCAGATATCCTCTGTCTCAGAGTGATCTGAAACAATGCTGTCAGAGCCCTTTCTTAAGCCTCTATTAAGAGTTGAGCTACAGGTTTGGACTGCTTTCTCTACTAGTAAGACCTCTAGAAAAATGTAGAAAATAAATCTTTGATAGATTAAAAACTACCTGAACTTTCTCTACCCTTCCTAGTCATGGTCTTCATCATTTATGTGTGTAGGGGAGAAAAATGCCTTTTTAGATAGGTTGTGGACTTTGGTAATTTGACAGTGGACTTATAGAGTGCTATATGGTGATTTTTGGATGTTTAACCAGTTTGAGCTTTATCTGGACCTTTTCTCTCTGCTAGTGAGTTGAAAACTCCCCTTAAACTTTTCTCCAACATGTTGGGAGTTCATTTGAGAATGCCTTGTAGTCAGATCATTCCTCCTTCCAGAAAGTCAGACTAAGGCAACTTGCAACAACTGTTTTGTCTTACACTAGGGAAAATAGTAATCAGTAACTTGCCTTTGTGTTCTTACTCCTTGACTAGAATACGGGACTATTTTAGCAAGTCTTTCTCTTCATTCATGCAGGCATAGGAAGTAGATAAGAGTGCCTTTACTATGTCGAGTGTGGCTGCTAGAAAGACTTTTGAGTTTCAAATACTTAGTGAATTTTAAATGGACCTTAAAGGAGTAGCCTTGTCTTGCTGCTAATAAAAGTTGCCTAAATGACTGGATAGACAACAGAAATTTCTCAGAGCTTTCTCTGCCCAAGGGCCCAGGACAGAATCTCTGACTTACCATCTCTGGAGTTGATCTCTTTAGCAGGAAAAGTGACCTATTTGACTGTTGACCTATTCCCCTCTCTCTCTCAAGAAACTAGAAAGCAGAGGTTTAAATCTCTTGCTTTGCTAGCAATACTTCCTTCTCTAAACATGACTGTTATGGGTGAAGTCAATTGTAACTTGCACTTTAAGAGTACCTACTGGAGTGAGGATATGAGTTACCTGAGGAAGATAAGATCGAGTGCTGGTAAAGGGTAGATAGTTCAGTCTGGTTTTATTTTCTGGTTCTCTCTCCAAAGGGTAGCTACCTACCCTGGAGTGGTATAAACCTTGGGGGACATGCTGGGGATGCCCTAGGGGGCACAGCAATCAAGCAGAGACTTATGGGATGCCATATTTCTTTCTCTTGTTTCAGGTTAGGAGCTCCATATCTGAACCTTTTACTCCTTTGGAATGTATTAAGGAACAATTTAATATTTCTCTACACCTGCGTGTGGTGTGCCTACCTCCTAAAGCCAAATACACAGAGGAAAGTACTGTGATGCTATCTCACAATTAGAATTATACTGTTAAGAGAGAAAAAATGGTCAAATCTTTTTATGTTGATTTTCTTTAGATTAAGTAATTCTTGCTTGTGTTCAAATATAAATGTAGGACATAAAAAAATGACAGACAGCTCACCCTTTAGACATTTCGTACCTCCAAGCCTGAGACTATGCCTCACCCTAGAGTTTCTAGGCCAGCTATAATTAATCTCTCGATGAGGCTGTATCCATCCTTAGCTAAGGGAGTAAATGGCAAATATGGGACTACCTGTGTTCATGTGTCTTTTTCTCACAGTAATCTTAGCTCAAATGAGACTTAAAAGTTTCCAGATGACCCTGATATGTACATTGAGGTCTTTAGAGGACTTACTCAGACCTATGAACTAGATTAGAAAGATGTAATGTTGCTCTTAAATCAAACATTGATATCTAATGAGAGACAAGTAGTATTACAAGCTGCTACTACATCTAGAGACAAATATCTTAATTTTGGAAGCTCAAAAGACAGGCAGCCAGGGGAACAACTGGTTCCTACTGGAACACAAGTAGTTCCTACACAAGAGCCCCACTGGCCTGCCAATCAGATAGGAGATTAAATAGAAGACATTTTCAGGCATGTATTCTTAAAGGTCTAAGAACTAAATCCTTTAATTATTTTAAATTGTCAACTATTTATCAGGAAAAATAGGCCATCTCTACATCCTGATTTGATAAAAGGAAATACTATAGTTTTTCTCATGTCACAGTCTTGCAATATGTAGATGGTATGCTGTTACATGCCAGCTCAGAAGAACTTTCTATCCAAGATATCTGCTCTGCTGAATTTTCTAACAGACAGGAGTTATCATGTTTCTAGATCTAAGGCCCAGTTTTGCAGCCTTGGGGTAAAATATTTAGGCCTTATTATATCTAAGGAAACCCAAAGACTGGGGGAAGAAAGAATTAAACCAATTCTTTCCTTTCCACAGCCCAAGACTCTAAAACAGCTAAGGAGATTCCTAAATATTACAGGCTTTTGTTGCCTTTAGATAGCAGATATAGTGAGATTGTGTGACCCCCCTCGATCAGGTTATTAAAAAACCCCAAAAGACAGATACCCACATTTTAACCTGGGAACCTGGTTCCAAGACCTTATTCCAGAAGC